TCCTTCTTTATCCACCTACCTCGAATTGTGCAATAACCATGAAAACATGAAATGTCCTTGTACTCAAATCTCTGCTAATTATCAAGGGTTCGTTCAACTTTCATCCATTTTTCATCAAGTCTGTGCGAGTGATTTGATATCACCCGAATGGATTAAATTTCTTTTTGACAACAATAAGACAATAGTACGTTATGCAGCAGATTTTCGTGCCACCGCTAGTATTCAATTTCAAGCTTTACAATGACTATGTCAATTGTCTTTTACAGTGGTTCAAGATAGTATTGAAGGATTTTATACCAATGAACTCATCTCCGGTGAACTATTAAGCGAGAATCTCTTCAAAGCTCAATTAAAAGCAGATATCGCGAGATTTCAAATGTCAACTATTTCAGACTTTAGGCGTGCTTTAACATTTATGCGCTCGTTTACATTTAGTAATGCACTTATTCCTGCTATCGAAACTGCTTACACTTTCCTCGTCTACGTTGATGATTCAGGTGCTGTATATCCATGGTAAGTCAATTCTTCACTAGGATTTAGCGCATTTCATCGAGTTTTCTAGAAGATTTCCTTTAATACGTGAGAGATTTCAATATCGTTGACCAGTTTGTATTTTGAATATATAAAATGCACAATAGTCATTTCATGATGCAGATCAATATCTTTGAATTTCTTAATTTATCGAGTTAAATTCATTCATCTATGTTAGCGTCGTCATAAATCATCTTCATGTATGCCGAGAACTAGGATGTCCTTTGAAGTCTTTCTAACTTCGGCAATTTCTTTCTATGAGAGTAGGTATTTCACTGAGAGTGGGTGTATATTAAAGAGAGGATCAACACTCATACCCACACCCACAGCTTTTTCTTTATTTAAGGCCTATAACAGCAGCCAATTATTTTACCCAAGCAAACGGCGTGGAATGCAGCTGTATGGATTCTTCTTCATGTTCTATACGTGCTGGATTCTACGATATCGAATCTTTAGATCAAACCATCCACTTCAATCAACAAGAACTGCCACCTGAAATGTTTTTGGATGGATGGTATACAGCCTGTTGGCCAATAGAATCTCTTCTGCTGTCGACACTTGAAAGTTTCTATAATGAAACAATATTTAATAGGATTGTCACCTTAATCAATGCATCATTGGCATACAATCATTTTCAGGCGCTCAATGCATCAGAGATTAGGTATTTCAGCCAAAACACTAATCTTAATGTTCTGGTCAACGCTTTATTCGTCGAAGAATGGATACATAAGCCCAATTATTCCGCCTACTTTGCTCAGTGTCAGCCACAATATTGTTCATATACTATCAACCAACGGGCTCCAGTCCAATACATTGTCATTTCTCTTCTCGGACTCTATGGTGGTATTTCCGTTGCACTCCGATTGATCATTCCATACCTTGTTCAGTTTGTTGCAAAATTGCTAGGACGGCAATTAGTTTCGACATCCGTGCAAACTGTACAAATCAGTGAGTAGTTGAATTCAGTCTCCCTTATTCTTATCGTAAAAAGCATTCTCAAAGTGCCATTATTTTTTAATTGGAATTCATTATTTGATATTGATCTTGAAATTAATTCGATTACTTTTTTCAAATTTGGTCGTACCTCATAGTACTTTGTAATACCAAAGATAGTTGAGGAATCAACGGATGGAACTCGTTGACTGAGCACTTTATAAACCTTTGTAATTATTGATAGCCCCTCGTTACTTACTTGACATTTAGAGTCACTTTCTTCAAAATTGTTTCTGATCTCATTCATTTTCTCGAACTCATCCATGAGGAAACCTTGATACACCGGTTATCTTAAATGTGTTACCAATCTAATAGATTCCTATCTATTAGATATGTCCATTCTCTGCTAGCACGGAAAATCAGAGTCAGCTACATAGTGAAACTATCCTATAAGTCAGCAGGGCACGTCATGTTGAGAAGTGTTTGATGCTACACTTGGATGAAAATGTAACATGCTTCAAAAAAATTTTTGAAAATTATTGAGATTTCCGCTCTCGTACAGATCTTCAGTCTTCTGCTAATCGTTGTGCTTTTTCGATAAAAATGCAATTCTAATTATAGTGGTCTGTCATAAATTGAAACCATTGTCTCTTTCGATGCACAATGCATTTTATTGTTTTGAATTATTTGTCATAGAAAAGAGTATGGATATGAATTATTTACCATTAACTATTATCACGCAGTGTAGGTCCAGCAAATAGTTCTAGGACACTGAAGAATGCCTTTCTAAAATTTTATCTGACGTTCTACATAAACTCTATTTGGAAAATGTACGGCGTGTCTTTATTAACCAGTCTTTCATACCTTCCTATATCAGTGGTTCGACCCCGGGATTCGTGCTTTCGCTCTTTGCATATCTTTGCTTAGTGGTTTGAATTTATATTTGATTATTGA